TTTAGCAGAGCTAAATGATACCATTTAGGTCTGCTAAAGCTAAATGATACCATTTAGCTCCCGAATATTTTTCCGCGGAACTTTTCTACGTAACATTTTTCCTCTGAGCCCCTCAAATCAGAATTACCACCGATCCCCAAACGAGGCATCATTTATCCACAGCATAATGGTTGTAGTTTCAACGTTAGTATTTTTCATGCTACACATGTCAATGGCACACCTTATGAGCGCGAGTGGTTGGTTTACTCAGATTCCAGTGATTCAGTGTATTGTTTGTTTTGCGCATTGTTCAATCGAAATGCAAAGAGTCTCCCCCAATTCCGTATCATTTAGAACATATATAACATTTGTACTAAATACTACATCGCTTTCACCGACCAACAGATGGCGCTGCTAGTAACAACATCAAGAAAGTACGGACCAATTGAAATCTCTCTCAACACTACACGTTCCTTTGCTCTCTTTCTTCATCAAACTAACAAAATTGGAACAATAATAATTTGGCCAATTTATTTAAATTTTTTCCGTTGAATTTCATTTGAAATATCATGTATTTGTTAGTTTGATGATGAAAGAGAGAAAATAAACGTGTAGTGTTGAGACAGATTTCAATTGATCCGTAATTTTTCTAAAACGATGATCAATGGTGGTCGAAATACCAAATCGATAGCACTGTTGTAGTTATTGACACGAAAAAAAAGTTGTCGTAGATTATCGTTTTAGAAAAAAAATATACGGACCGGTACGGACCAATTGAAATGTTTTCATTAATTGTCAAATCAGTGTACTAAATTATAGTCAAAAATGTTCAGTTTTTTTATTTATTCATTTTTTTTAATAATTCAATGTTCAGTTTTGTTTTTCATCACACACGGAAGATTCTGATGAAAACACACTCATATAATGACACATTGATTACATATAAAACACGCAGTTAACAATTGTAGAGCGCCACCGATCTTTGACGGCAAAACTTAAGTTCAAATTTTCGCGCACTCAAACTCATTTGAGATGTTCAGCCTTACAGAATGTTATTTAAAACGAAACTTACAGAAAATATTAAAGAATAAATTCAAATAGAACATTTAATTACCAACAAATTAAAATCAATATTGATTTTTGGTAAATTTCGTTGAAAACCGCCAAAAATGATGGAAGAAAAAATAAATTTAGTTTATTTTGTTGAAATGGCTTTTTTATACTCCATCATATTTATTCCTATTTTTTGGGGTTGGTAAACTTTTAATTTGTATTTGGAAGATAGAAAAAAAAATTCAAATCACTAACTTTTAAGCATTGATGCAATATATGTACGAATTTGACATTTGTGTTGTAATCGTTCCATTTGACAGCAATCGGTTTGACAACCATTGATTCTAATTTCAATATGAAATTAACATGCTGCACCAAACAAATTTGCCGGGGAAAAAATGTTTATGGAACTTGATTAGTTCTAGGAGAATAAAATCGATTGTAACAATAAAAAAATTGCAAGAGATTCATTCATGGAGATCCAAACTATTTTTTTTTTCTCGGGAAAATTGGCCGGTGCAGCCTGTTAGTTTGGTTACGTTAAGCGGTGTTGAATGGAATCGAATGACATTCTCCGACATTTTACATTGCAGTTAAATTATGACAGAATGACGTGTAAAAGGCATTTATGCCAAAATTACATTCTTCAAAATACTAATTGTACTCCAATTAATTTACAATGTGAAATGTCGATCAATGCCATTTGATGCCATTCAATACCGCTAAACATAATCAAACTTACAAGCTGCATCAGTAAATTTTTCCGAAAAAAATGTTTGTGGAACTTGATTAGTTCCAACAAACAAAAAATGTTGGAAAATGTTTTTCTTTTGTATTTTGTTTCTTTTTTTCATTTTTATAACTCAAATTTTCAATTAAATAAAAAAAAAATTCAGACGACTTTCATATGAGACAACAGTAGAGCTCTGAATGTCAAATTCATACGCTGCCAACTTCATGTCATTGACAAATATGAAAAGTTAACAGCGCATGGAATTGTCCGCTGTTTGACACAGGCGCTCTACTATTGCTCAATTTCAGAATATCAGTGTGCGGATGAAAAATATAAATTAATTTTTTCATAGAATATATTTTTATTGAACAATTGATATATGTTATCTGACGTCGCCATCTATTGTTCGGTTAACATACTATAGTACTAAACCAAAGTTCTAAATGATACAGAATTTTGTGCTGAGCTGGAGGAGACTCTTTATTTTGTGCTGTCGGTCGTGGTTACTTCGACTGGAAAAATACCAAACGAGACGTAGCCCAACACGAGACTACTTTTAAACATCATCAGGCGTTCAAAACTTGGCTCGACTGTCGTAATTCCAGATGGCTATTGACCAATTGCACGAGTGGTGTAGGCTCAACAAGCTCTATTTGAATCTGAGGAAATGTTTCGTCATGACGTATGCGAAGAACATCATCGTACAAAAACATGAATACACGATAAGCAATGGTCAGCACAAATTTGGCAGAATTGAGCTACACCGAGACTTGGGTGTCATTTTTGACGTAAAACTCACATTTGCCAACCACATTCATACGACAGTAGCCAGCGCACACGGTGCATTAGGTTTTATTAAGCGAACACTGAAAAACAAGTTTACTACAGAATCAGCAAAAATGTTATATTATGCATTGGTTCGTTCGAAGTTTGAGTATGCTAGTGTAGTGTGGCATCCATACCACAGGTCATATATTGACAAAGTTGAATCAGTTCAGAAAAACTTTTTAATTTGGGCATTTAGAGGAATCTACCAAAGAGATGTTAATTATAGGTTGCCATCGTATCAATTTAGATGTGATAATTTGAATATTCAACCGCTTTGGAGGCGGCGTATAAATGCCTCAGTATTGTTAATTTATGATCTCCTCCTAGGAAAGTTGATTTGTACGGCGCTCAGAGAGAGAATTGTGTATACGAGACGATTAGACAACAGAAACCAAAGAAATTTAAGAAATAGGGATTTAGTTAGAATTGAAACATATGGCACGGACTATGCTCGTAATCAGCCATTTATTGTAGCGTGTAGAAATTTTAACAAAGTGAAGCAATCGTTTTTGGACTCGGCATCAAGGCAAATATTTAGTAGAAATGTGTTCAATTTAGACCAGACGTGTGCAAGGGGGGGGGGGGGTATTCCGGTTTTAACCTCCCTCTAGGATTCCAAAATGTGGACCCCCCCCAGCGATGTGGAAAAATTTACACTAGATATAATCGATTTTCAAAAGTGAGGACCTTTTTTTTTTTAGGTCTTCACTTGTTTTTGGACACCCATTGGCAAAATTTTAGACCCCCATTGTGGAATTTTGACTGTTTTACACTAGATAGAATCGATTTCCAAAACCCCCCCCCCAGGCATATTTTTTACCCCCCCCCCCTAGAATTTTTGACCTTGCACACGTCTGATTTAGACAACAGTATTTTTGAAGAATTGTATGTATAGTGAATAGTGGTGGTCACGGTCGGAGGCCGCAGAGCGCCACTTCGAAGTCATTAGGGCTGGTGGCTAGGCTATTCGATTCGGGAGTGTCTAACTGCTTATCAAATTGTAAATGAATTGTATAATGTTATTCAGTCTGTGATTAGACGGTGAAATAAATAATAAATAAATAAATAAATAAATAAATCGTTTGCTAACAAATCGGACAATTGATGCAGAACAAAGGAAATTACTCAATATCGAAACGGAACGTTGGAAAGAGGTAATGAAACGACTCGTGGCGAGCGTTCAATTTTTGGCTCAGCAATCGCTCGCATTCAGAGGTCATACAAGTAAGTTGTATGAAAACAACAACGGAATTTTTCTGAAACCATCCCTATGTAAACCCATACACAGTTTCTTATAATACTGCTTCTTCTTCTTCACACTGTCGTACACAATGGGCGCGGCCATATTGAAAATGTATACAGTGTATTGAGTGCCATTTGTGAGTGTATTGAGTGCCATTTATGAACATTTTAACTAATATGGCGACTTACATGTATAGATGTGTTAGTTAAGAAGAAGAAGCAGTCACACTACACCGTTCGCATACGGACGTCTGAAACTAATAGAAATGCTCGCCAAATTCGATCCAGTGATGACAGATCATGTAAATCGTGCAACATCAACTTCCCAACGCCACTATTTATCGAATCGAATTCAGAACGATTTAATTGAAAGTCTGGCCAAAAGTGTGAATGATTTTATAATAAACGGCATTCGAGAAAGCAAATATTATTCAATTATGGTTGACTGTACATCAGATCTTTCACACATTGAGCAAATGTCGATCATTCTCCGCCAAGTTACATTATGCCGACAAGAAAATAAATACAAAGTTGTTGAACGATTCCTTTCGTTTTCGCCATGTGTTGATTCAACGGGTGAAGGAGTTAAGGACTCAATTATCGCTGAGCTGGAAATAGTCAATTTGGAATTGCAAGATATCCGTGGCCAAGGCTACGATAACGGACCTAACATGGCAGCAAAATTCAAAGGTGTCCAAAATCGAATGCTTCAATTGAATTCGCGAGCTCAATTCGTTCCGTGCGCTTGTCATAAATTAAACTTAGTGGTGAATGATACTGCTAAATTGATTGACAAAAATTCATTCGAATTTTTCGAAACGTTACAAAAATGCTATGTATTTTTCTCGGAATCGCCAAAACGATAAGCCATTCTACAGAACTACGCTGAAGGTGCCAAAATTAGTTTGAAAAATGTGTCAAACACACGTTGGTCTAGTCGAGAAGCTGCAACTAAGTGTCTCCTGTATCATCTGCCGAAAATTCATGCAGCTCTTCGCGAAATCGCAAACGTTGCTAAGCCCGACGCGGGAGCTATGACGCCAATAGTTTTGCAAGGAAAATTTGCAAATTCAACTTTGTTTGCGGTGTTGTTGTTTGGCACAATATCTTATCAGATATAAATATTGTTTCCAAATCGCTGCGCTGCAGTCACAATCAATTGACATGACTCACTGTTTGATCGAAAATTTGACGAAACATTTGAAGGAAATACGCGAAGGTAGCGTTGTTATCGATGAATGGTTTGAAAGAGCAAAACAAATACAAAGTGAATTTTGTCTGGATTCAATTGCACTCGATAGCATGGCGACTCAACAACGGCCATTTCGTATTCGTACTGAAGTGGAAGAAGATTTGAGTGGAGAGGATAAACAACAATTTAAAACCTCTTTTGTTTATCCCATTCTGGATGTAGCTCTGTCCAAGTTAGAAGAGCGCTTCGAACATTTGACTGAATTGGAAAATACTTATGGATTTTTGTTTGATTTGCACAATAAAGTTAATTCATTAAATCAATGTAAACGACTCGAAGAAGCATTGACTTCAGCACAAGACGGAAGCAAAGATCTGGACGGTACTCAACTCTTTGATGAAATCAAATCATTCCAAGCACTGATTGATGATGATGGGGGAAAAACACCTTTGGAATCTCTCAATAAAATCTATGAACTTGGTTTGGAGCCAATCTACTCGTGATTAAAACTGTGAACTATTTCTTTTTCAAATAACACTTTATTTTCACAATC